GCCACCGTTTACCGCTCCAAAAGCCGCTCTGAAATAGCTGATGTCTGCATCTGGCGGGATTATAAGGGTATTATGTATTACGAGCTCCTTCTGCAACATCAAACACCGAATTCATACAATCACCGCTCCCGTCTTGATCGATTAAAAGGCAGCATTTGATGAAAATTGTCGGAAACTGGTATCTTTGTAGAGATGGCAGAAATCGGTACAGCTTTGTTGGATTGTATTTATTAGCACACGTGCGATACTCACCTGACTTGACTTCGGATTTACCACTCACTCACATCCCTACAAAATTATCTTAATATGAAGAACTTTAATACACTGGAAATCCGTTAAAATCACTTAGATCAGTTTATCCCTCAGGAAGAGGCCAAATTCTGAGAGGATAGAATCATGAAGATACTTCAGAAATGGAACAGATGTAGTGGAATTAAAATGACACATAGGTGGTTAAGTAAATGTAGGTACAAATATCTAGATAACGTTTTTGAAATTCATTAGAAAAAAGATGCTACGAACTTTTGTTCCGACTCAATATGTATTTGTCTATATTTCTGAGATGAGGTATTGTAGTTATTTACACTATTTACATTTTTCGGGCTGTTGTCCTTATTTTTATTGTCATATTCATGACGTTTCGGCCGTTGTAAGCTCCGGCCTTCTTCAGGTCCAAAGTATATCACCTGAAGAAGGTCGTAGCATACAACTGCTGAAACATCGTGAATATGACAATGTAAATAGTGTAAGGAATGTTATTAGATTTACTTTATGGGATATTATTTAGTCTTTTGTGTTGGGGTGCGGTTGTCGCTATCTTAGTAGGAATTGGTTTTCTCTATTTTTAAATGAGATCTGATCTTTCATTTACGAGTTCATATTGTTCTAAAAAGTTTATATTGTTCTTATAAAGCCAATGAGTTTCTGCGAAAAAAGGGTTGAAAGTTTTGTGGGGCACCAGGAACCTCTTCTCGCCACTGTCAAACGGAGAAAAATGGCGTGGTTTGTACACGTTACAAGGCACGACAGCTTTTGCAAGACCATCATGCAAGCCGCCGTTGAAGGTGGACGTAGGAGAGGACGCCAACGCAAAAACTGGTTGGACAATGTCAAACAATGGTCAGGTATGACTGTACCAGAATTGCTGATGGCTGCCGTTGATGGACCGCTGCGGGGGAGATTCAGTGTGGCTTCTGCATTCAGACCCCCCCCCCCAACTAGGATTACAAAAGTCAAGGGGATGATGATGATGATGATGATGATGATGATGATGATGATTGTTCTAAAAAGTTTGATATTGCAACCTTCTCCTCCGTCGAGGTTACATTGTTTTTGTTGCTCCTGTAAGATGGTGTTTTTCTATTTTCTATGCTATTTTTATTATGTTTTCTTTTGTGTCTTTGAGATTTGATACACGTTTGAGGAATAGCACATATTTTGCGAATTTTTGTTGTTAAATAATGTTTTGCATTTGCTTTTCAGTAACCTCCTGTTATTCCTATATAAATTTTATGTTCCCTTCAGATAGTATTGTAACTTAGTTTATGACATTGTTTTGTAGGCAGTTACAGTTTAGTAGGCATTCGAACGATGTTCTGCAGTTACAGGTGTGTTTGTAGTGTATTGATGATTTTTTAACGATTCTGACATGTTTTTGGTGTAGCTTTAGTTGAGTTTTAGAGTATTTCCGTTGAATAATTTAAGCAGTTTGCTTCATCTGGGAACTGTTTGTCAATGGGCATGATTAATATTTTATCTATATTTATTTTCACAGTGGGTTGAATCATATGATACTTCTTTTTCTGTTGCCTTTTTATTCTGTTTGGTGTAAATGTTAGTTTTACCGAAAAACCGCAGTCTTTAGTATCATTTCATAATTGTTTAGGGCTACGTTGAATTTATTTTGGCGTTTGAGAGTTGTCGACTCGTCTGCGACTGATAGAAAAAAGGATGCTGATTGGGTGGTTGAAAGACATGTGTATGCAAAATTGGTTGTCATTTGGTTTTCTGAACTTCTTTTATGGAGGATGGACGTTACATTTAAAAAAATCTACCGCTTTTGTTTAAGATCAATTTCGAATATTATTTCTTTAAAATTTTTAATATTTATTTCCTTCAGCTATGGTTTAAAAAACAACAGGAATAGGCCCTCTGGCTTTCGGTTGCAAACAATTTAAGAGGAGGAAATCTGAATTCCAAACTGTAGAAAAGGTTTTTTTTAATTGATTGATTAATATATTCATTCATTTTCTACGGCTTATCAACCATTTGCAAGTTATTTAATGCCAGAAAATATTTTTAGAATTTAAGATTTTTTTTGAGATAATAATAATTTAGTGATACAGATATTACTAATTAACTGGGGGAGAAGAGGTGGATTTATACGAAGTACGTTCAAAAGGTTCTAAGCCTCACCCAGAAAGAAGAGCCATAGCTGAACATTTTTGCTGTAGCAACACACTAAGACTTCTTATAAAACTAGAAAAACTAATTCAGATTTCTGTCTTAATTTCTGTCCAGGTGAGGGTCATACATAATATGAGAGGCGTAGGCCCGAACAGTCATCAAGTATCTACAAAAGAAAGGGATGACACCCAAGGAAATCCACGAAATCATGGTACAGACACTTGCTGAGGACTCCCCTTCCTGTGCAACCGTGAAGAAGTGGACTGCGAAATTAAACCGGAGCAGAGACAGCGCAAAAGTTGACTCTCAGTCACGTCATCCAAAAACCTCAACCACTGATGAACTAGTTGATGCCATTCATCCTATAATTTTGGATGATAGTTGTTTTACTGTCCAGCGGATAGCTAAATTCATAGTCATTAGTTCTGGTTTCGTCCATACTGCTTTAACCGTGAGATCTTGGGAATATGGAAGCTGGGTCCCAAAAATGCTAACACCAAAATAGAAGCTGAAAAGAGTTGATATTTACAAGAGAATTTCCAGCGCAAATTAGAAACTCAAAATGAAACCTGGATTCACCACTTCGAACTTGAATCAAAGATTCAAAGCAAACAGTGAAAACACTCTGGCTCACCACTCCCGAAGAAGTTCAAGCAGGCAGCGTCTGTTGGCAAGATGATGGCTTCTGGGTTTGTTTTTTTTGTTTTTGTTTTTTTGAGATTTTGAAGGCGTAATCATGATAGACTATCTGTAAAAGGGAAAAACTGTTAATGGACAGTACTCTGCATCAGAATTAAGACGGTATATGGGCGCACCTCCAAAACCCTAGATGACAAGAGATTGGCAGCTGATCTCTCCTCAGACCTACTTCTCAGTGGCGGGAAAATGGCTGGTTACATTCACTGCCTCGAAAACCAAACAAATAACATTCTAGCATCGCAGGTCAGACATTGAACTTTCGACTATCACGATGAATAAATTTTCCGCAAGGGAGGTCCGTGCCTTGGGCGCCTATTGAGCCTTAAACTCAAACCAAGACCTCAAGTGGAGCTCGTACATCCGATCCATCGCCGCTAAGAATACTGGGAAAATGGTCGGTTTCAATACGTACCAGACTCCTCCAGCTGTCCTCTACCTTTACATGAACCATATGAGGTCTAAAATAGATTATTGTTGCTATATATGAACAGGAGCCGCCCAGTTTTCACTATACAATTTCAATAGAGTCCAAAAGCACCTCCGCGTCCTTGTGGGAGACAAATTATGTTCCACCCTATACCTGCTTTCTCAGAGGCGTAACGTCGCAAGCCTCTCACTGCTCTATCGCAATTTCCATGGAAAGTGCACAGGCTAACTACCTTCCTAAGTTCCACCAGCCTTAACTTCCGCGGTTAAGACTCGCCATGATATACATATTGTAGTGAACAACCCCCATTCTCTTTGTATTCCATTATGTAAGTTGCACTCGATTCTTCCCGCGAACCGCTGCTCTGTGGAACCGACTTCCAAGAGGAAGTTTTCCCGATCACTATAATGTTAACCTGTTCAAGTCTAGGTTTAACCGTTATCTACCTCCACATAAACTCTGCATTTTACTCTGTAATTCTCTATCTCAAGTGCCTCCAGGTCCTTGTACAGAGCGAACATCACTGTAAAAAAAAAAAAAAATAATAATAAAAAATTGAGCTCGAACTCAATGGTAGTGTCGAGAGAAGCTGCTCCTGTCAACAGTCGCATAATATCGTGGTATTTGCACTGCCATGTCACGCAAAGATAGGTGTCCATACATGTACTTTTGGTTGGCAACATTACCATTATGACCACCTTCCCGCCAGTTTGTATTGCTATAGTGATAATTATTTGGGCTTTTTTCTCTTGGAAACATAGTCTTGTGCTTTTATTACTTTCTCTCTCTCCCTCCTTAATAATGTTTTCTTTTTCTCATATTCTCTCACATTCAGTAACCCCCTTGCATCTTAGTGGCTTTACTGCCTTGCTTGGGAATGAAATGATTGAAAAATATGAATGAATTATCAGTTTTTTTTTTTAATTATAAATATTCTTTGCTAAGTTATAGGTGCAAACTAATTCCAGGGTACTGTCAATGTCCTTATGATAGAAAATACGGTACTTCACAAAAAAAAAAAACTTCATTTCATTTATATAGCAAGATCACAAAATGTATTATGAAAATAAAATTTACTCGGTAGAAAAAGGACTTGGAAATGATGAAATATTAATTTCAATTTGAAGGAAATGTTGTTTCTACTGAGATGTTCATTTGTTGCTGCAAGAACTATAATTTTTTTTTTTTTTTTTTTTAATTGGAGCTGAAGCATTAAGTCAGCGGGACATCTCGTGCAACAGTAAACGTTAAGTTGGGGTGAGTTATTTCCCTTGATTCTAGCCGCTCTCCTTAATTACCGAGAAGTCATACGGCCAAACTAGATAATCAGCAAAAACAAAAAACCACAAAGAAAAAGAATTTTTACTATTTTTATCAGCTAATTTATTTCTTATTCTTAACGGATTTGTTGGCGTTGCCCAGTCTGAAGTCCTGGGAACATCTACAGAGGAATTTTAGCTAGAATATCATGTCGGATAGCCGAAGGTAAGTTGTAGATATGATGCCACTAGCGACCAAAAAATGAAAACCCGGCCTTTTGACTAGAAAGAGAAAAACACAAAAACGAATGACATAAAGTAAAAACATGTTTTAATAATTGTTCTCTTTAAAAACAGTAAAAATCGTGTATTAAATCCCCCACAAATGTGCTGAGTGTAAAATTTATAAACGTACGAGTAAATAAATATATTTACTTAGTATGTAATATTTATTCATTGACGTATTTTTTAAGCATGAATGGACATTTCTTATTGAGGTATTGAATTAAAAATAAAAACGTATCTTTCTTTACTGCTGTTATTTTATTTAATCTATAGAATATTTAACTTATAAATTTTATTTGTATTTAATCGAAGCAAAGTCTGATAACATTTTATCTTTTTTGTGTAACCATTTTCTAAATTAAAGGCTAAAGCTGTATTGTGGCGAAGTTAATGTTTTTATTTTATTTTTATAATGAAAAATAAATGTATACAAATTAAAATTAAAATCAACACAGTAAAACTGATTATGAACATTTTTAGTAAATATAAAATTTTAAAACCTTAACTTGTGATTACTGTAAAAAAATTATTTCTCCCTGTTTGTAGTAGTTTTTGACAAGTGCAATTTTTTTTTTCATAGAATGGGAGAAATATTTAAAAGGTAAGGAGAATTGAGGAAAAATAATTTTTGAGATTCATTTGTTAACTTGATTTTTAAACTTATTTTTATTTATTTCGATAATCAATTTCTATATTTTATTTATTTCTTGTGGCATTAGCAATAGTGGCACCACTGACCATGACATTGTTAGGGAAACATTTTTGTTTTTAACAAAACAAAAATCATTTCATTGATTAAGATTTTTTTCAATTTCACTGGTTATGATTTTTAATTTACAATAATACTTTGTACAAAAAAAAGTGCGCACACTCCTCACAAAATTAATAATAATAAAAAAATTCTTCTTTTTTAAATGACTGTTTAATTTTAATTAAATAATCTCAAAAAGAAATCGTTAACAGGTAGGTAAGAAAGGCTTCTTTCTTTTTCTTTTTTTTTTTTTTGGTCACCTGACTTGTTAACTACCTTATCGTACGTATGATCTTAAAAACTACTTCACAGCAACAATCATAACAAAACAGTTACTGCTCAGTTATGAACATTAACAAATGTTTTTTATTTTTTTTATTTAGTCGAACTTTTCAATTAATAAAAATTCTAAAAAAAAAAAGAAAGAAATACTAAGCTGTCAAACAAACATTAAAAAATAATTCCTATTTGCAATATGAAACGAACAAGTAATGCAAAAAAGTCCGTCGCAAACATCGCGTTCATCATTGATAGCAATTTTCCATTGATAATTAAATTAACCTAATTGTTTTCTAATTCTACATTTTATTATTATTTAATTAGTACTTTTACGATATTTAGAATTTAAGTCAGTTATCATGATGTTAATATTGCCAATTCATTTTGTTTTCTATGTGCGTATTTGATCACTTAGGAGAGCTTATTACGTTTGTTAATAATTCTTATTTCTTACTCACTCGCTGACTCGACGTATACATGGAATTGTTTTTAAATTTCACTTGTATGAGATTTTCATGAAGATTTAGGTTGATTTTTACTATTGTGCTTTTTTTTTTTTTTAATTTGGATTGGGGCAATTTTTATTGTACTTTTTATTATTATTTAGAACAAGCTGTTTTTTTTTTTTTTTTTTTTTTTTTTTAGTGTATATCTCAAATCTCAACATTAAAAAATCTTGGAATAATCAGCACTGTTTCTTTTTATTCTTGCTCTTGTTGTTTTATTAACATTTTCAAATAAGTTATTTGTTATCAAACATGATTTATTTTTTAAATGCTGATCGAAATTGTATGAAAATGCCTCCCCCCCCCATATGAGTGATTTTAAAGCAAAATCTAAATGACTACGAGTTTAGATTCTAAAAAACCAATTTGTTGTAAATTTTAGGGAATCAGATGGTAAAATTAACTTTAGATTGAATTTTTTTTTTTTTATTCTTTTTCGTGCTTGTTGAAGTGAATGTCTTTGGAGTTTTAATTAGTGAAAAAGTGATACTGCCATTTCTTTATGAAATTTGGTTTATCCATTTTCAACAAAATCTTTGAAAAGAGAATTTATTATTTTTTAAATAAGTACCATTTTGGGAGATGACTAACTAACTGCCAAAATGGCTGCTGTTGTGAAAAACGACTTTCAAGAAATATTTTGGAATTTGTTGACATTGATGCACACCATTGTGTATGTTCTTTCAACCAAACTGAAAGTTATATTGTTACCAGCATTTAACTTTTGATGAAGTAATATTGAAAGGATAACTTTTAACCTCCTACACCTTCCTCTCTTACCCAGATTAGTTCAGGTGGGTGGCTGGCTAAATTCAATATTATTACGAATCATAGCTGACAACATGTTCCAAGTAGTCATTTTTCTTCTACTTGTAGCAAACCTTTCACCAGTTATTTAAATGGTTTCAAGGAAACTGAATCTTCAAATACAATTCTAATAATTCTCATTTTAAAGGTAAACCTACAAAGATTTGGTATCAGAGGTTTGTCAATGTGTTTAAAAATTTTATTCATATTAGTAAAAAAAAAAATATGTTTAAACTTTATTGATAAATTCCTATGGCTTTCCTAGTTTCTAAACTGTTGATTTACAATTAGGCATATCCCATCTGCTTAAACTTCATTTTTAGAGTGATGATCTTCAAATGACAAAACTTAGTCGGGATAATGTTAAAGTTATCTGAAATTTACAATTTGAATAGTTCAGTAATATGAGTATTTAGAAAATTGACTTTATTATACCAAAAGTAACTTTCTCACCCACAAAAGTTACACCCAGTGAAAAAGTAGGGTGATTTATTTTGAATTAGATAATAATTGTTGCCTACTTGCTGTACAAAGACATACACCAAATGGTCCATTGTGGATGAGATTGTACCCCAACAATATTTGGGAGCCAGATGGTATCTGCATAATTGTTTAGTCATTCATAGATTGCGCAATGTTATGTGGATAGATGACAAAAACCATTCAAGATATTTGGAGATTGTCTGTGCTGTATAAAATTCAAATAGTCTCATGCTAAGATAGGGTTGGTAAGACCCAAATTATATATTTAAGATTAATGCAAATAAATTTGTCACTTAACTGATTGATGTTGTATTCAGCACCTCAACTCCAGAGTTTTGTAGACGAACCTTTTTGTAATGGTTCTGTCCACTTGTCAGTTGGTTTGAGCAATTGATATAAATTATATATATATATATTACGCATACACACATGCTGGCTGGACAAATCTTGTTGCTTTGGCTATATTCTCAATTTCCAAAAATTTTTAAACCAAGATTGTTGTATAATTGTTTGATGGTATTGCTTTATTTATAAAATATCTAATCTCAATTAAATTACTTGCAAATATCTTAAATTATAAGTTTATTATAAGCAGTTTTATCATTGGAATATAATCTCATTTTCATTTGACTTACATCCATATCACATTGAAACACCAATTCTCATGCAACCACTGAAGTTAAGCAATTTTGAGCCTGGTCAGTACCTAAATAGGTGACCACATGGGAATACCAGGTGTTGTAAGCTTGGCTGTGTGAGTGGTGTAATGGATAACAGTTCAGAATTGGAAATTGGAGAGTCAAATTAGAATTTGTCAGGTTTGTTGTATTTACTTACACACAAATACCTTTGTGAAAGGTATGAATCCACCTGTTCTTCCCCCAGTTAATTAGTAGGACTTGTATCAGTAAACCATTATTATTTCCAAAAATTCTTAAAATCTTTAAAATATTTACTGGCTTTAAATAATCTGCCGAAGGTTGATAAGCCGTAAAAAATCAATCGATCCTTTTTACTTAACAAAATCTATACTATCACTGTGTGTCTTTCTTTAGTGATTTCATCAAACTTTAATCTGCAGGAATGCCTCAGTAATGACCAATACTACCTGCATGACAGATGCACTAGTATCTGAAAGGGTATGAACTATAAGAGCTTTATCTGAATTAATAGTTTCTTGCTAACTATTCGGAAAATGTAGGGACTGCTTTCAGTTGCATTGGTAGTTTGAGCATGCCACTGTAAAGTTTGCATTTTCTTGTATAAGATAAATCATCTGATTCATTCTGACAGCAATAATCTGCATCTGTGATATTCTTCAATCAAATCAACTGCAAATTCTGCTTTTAAATTTCAGTTGTGTGTGATAAACTGGCAGTCATAAGACTTGAACTTTAGTCAGTGGACATGCTTAGATGATAAATATATAAGACAATTTTTAAAAAAAATTTTTCTTTTGACATGTTTTGTTGAACTGGCATCATCAGAAAAGAATTTTTTTTTTCACTAGAACAAAATCTACATTGGCAAGACAAAAACATGTTTTGTGTTTCAGTCAATCAGTTAAGTGCCGTACATGATACACGCTTGGGCGATCATGTCTTTTGATTCATAGTTGGTTGTTGTTTCTTTCTACAGTAGACTGGTTGCCAACCAAAGCTATAAGACCCAGTTTGTCCTGCTATTCAGCCTATAGCTGGGCAGAAAAGACATGGCTTCATAACTTTCTCAAGGCTTTTGCATGTAAATGAATGCAATGAACATGACTGGAATTTGAACCAACTCTCCAATCTTCTTTAAGGATATTCCTACAAAAATTAGATTTTGACTAAATTCATCACAGTATTGTAATTTATTTTTTTCAAGATTTCTGTGTCCTCTATAATAGGTAATAGATCATGGTGCTTTCAATGTATTTTCATCTGAGTAAATTATATTCCATTTATATTAAAACTGCATTTTCCAGGTCAAAATTGTGATCATAAAGATTTCTGTAGCATTCAAGGATGTTTCACTGATTTATTTTTGTGGTCATTGTTTACATTCTAATTGGTATAATCTCTTTCTCTCACACCCATACACAGATATATTTTGGGCATGTGGCCAAGTAGTTAGAATGTTCACTCTCTGACCATGAGACATGAGTTTGAATCTCACCATGGTCAATTTTTCAGCAAGGTGGCTTCTTGGAAACTGTGGAGAGCCAGGATCGTCTGTGTCCTGAGGGGACGCAGCACATAAAGAAGATCCCATTTGTTATGTTAAGACTTGTCTGATATTATCTGTAGAAACAATCTGTAAGTTAAGTTCTAAAGCCAAAAAGAATGCTATTAGTGAAAAGAGCAAGATTATTTTATCGGAAACTTTGTTAGTTTTCAGATATTTTGTCACACGTTACTTTTTTCTTTTCTTTTTTTTTGTATGAAAATGATGATTGATTTAAATCATTGTTATAATTTGTGGAAAAAAATTATGCATTTCAATATTATTCTATGATAAGAAGATGGAGGTCACATTAGCAAATGTGACCTCCATCTTCTGGCTTTCTCCTATGTATAGGATAGGAGTCATGCAGTTGTTCAAATTTAATTTTAATTTAGAACAAAGGGAAGAAAATTTCAGTGGGGGGGTGCAAAAACAGCTTGATCTGACCCATTTGATATGTATTTGATGCAATACTTGATTGAATGAATGGATGAGCAGATTTTGTGGAAGTGTATTATTAATTTAATGTATAAAAATGTTTATAGTATATCCAGTCCCACAAAATCATATCTGCAAAATGTTTTAATGCGTCATACAAGATATTTTATGTGACTCATATTTCAAATTATAATTCCTATGTGTCAGAGCACATGTTACATTTTTGTCTAAAAAATTAACTGATTGTACTCCACCTCTCCTAACTCTTTCTCTTTTTATTTTTATTATATATATATATATATATATATATATATATATATATATATATATATATTTATATAGTAATGGATAGCAGCTTGGATTGAAGAATCTGAAAGCCAGTTCAAATTCCAATTAAATCTGTTACATTCACTTATGTGCTAATGCCTTCTCCCCCCCTCCCAAATTATGGGTAAATAGGAGGACAGACTGGGTTCTATAGCCTTGGATGGCAATTGGTCTAGGAAAATGACAACTCTGAATTCCAAACCTTAGGAGGGTTGGTTGGGGACCTTTGTGGCCCACGGTGCACCAGGTCTCTGTGTCCAGCTCTTCAAAAAGTGTGGTTAGTTCTGCACAAAACCTACACCACTATAACCAAATCATATGTGCTGGTGTCTGGCTATCAGTTCCTAAGAACTGAACTACTTGACCCTCACACTTTGAATATGATGGCAGAGTCCATTATATATATATATATATATATATATATATATATATATATATATATACATATACATATATATATATACATATATATATATATATATATATATATATATATATATATATATAAGCAATTTTATGGAAAAAATATAACAAATTTTTGGTTGGCTTGTTTTTTTCTTTTTAGGACTTCATTAGACTAAAAAAAAATTGTTTTCATTGAAATTAAAAACTCCCAGCGTCACCTCTTCTTCATGCAGGTGTGTAGTGACCTCAACATAAGCATCACTTTAGTCCAATGAAGTCCTAAAAGACAAAATACATCATACAAAAACTTTTCCACTTATATTTTATAATCTCTTAACATCAGTTCTTGAGAATAATTCAGAAGTTATTTTTTACTATTTGATTTGATGTATTTAAAATGAAATTAATCTAGTGGAATCCTTATTTTAATGTCCTTGGTTTAGTTTCTTTGTTCAGTTAAAAGAAATATTATACACCATCCAAAAACACATTTTTAAGGTTCTGTAGCATCTAATTAGGAACAAAGGTAAAATGAAAACAAAAATTGTTTATATGCATAGAAAATTTTAGGGGTACCAATTTTCAGCTTCTTGTTTTCTTAAGTATCAAATTTATGGAGTACCAAAATTGACAAAACCATGATTTCAGTATGACAAGTTCCAGAAAAATGTTTTAACTCAAGACAGAAGTTTTTTCACAAAAAGAAACTTCTGTCACATGTAAAAATGTGGTAAAAATATGAGAATTTTCTTAAACTGCCTAACTGGTCTTCTGATGTCATGAAAATAGGGAATTTTAAGGATGTTAAAAAAACAATTGGGTATGTCTTTATTGACTCTACTAAATCATCAAGTAGGTTACTCACTGTCTTCATCAGTTTCTTTTCTCTTCAGTGTGCCTTTGATTGTTAGCCAAGCCTTCTTCATTATGTCTCTGAGAAATTCCATCTGACTTTTGGTTTGTTAGCAATAGTTTCTTTGTTGTTCTTCTCTTTACAACTTCTTCATTTCTAACCTGTTCTGTCCATGGTATTCTCAACATTGGTTGGTTTCTGTTGTTTGTCTCAAGTATAATCTGTGATGAAATTATCAAGTATTTATTGATCTATTGGAGGTAAGATATTAAATAGTTGTCAAGTCGAGCCCTCTTTTCTAAGAACATTCTCCGACTCCTTAGTACTGTGCTAAATTTCTGGAAAACTAAACCCTCCCAATGCCATCTAATAGATAACACAAAATGATCTTTTTAGCCATTAGATTAAGATTTAAAGATCTTGACACTTGAGAAGTGTCAGTCAGTTATATGTCATGCATGATATACACTTAGGCGATCATGTATCTTTTGATACATGATTGACGAGACAGATTTTTTCCTGCAGTAGGTTGCCATTTCTTTATGCGGTAGACCAGTTGCCATTCAAGTTTATAGAACCCAGTCTGTCCTGCTATTTATCCATAGCTGAAGGGGGAGAAGAGGAGGATTCATACCTTTCCCAAGGATATTAGTACATAAGTGAATGTAATGCATTTGACTGGAATTCGAACTCGGCTCTCCGATTCATCATTCTGAACCACTATTCATTACTCCATGGTGCCTCCTTCTTCTCTTGTTCTCCATTCAATGCAATGTGTTTGTTTTTTTTTTTTTTTTTTTTTTTTTTTTTTGGGGGTTTTTTTGTATGGTTCCAGTGGATGAAGCAAAAGTAAAAAAATAGATTTAAAAATTTCTAAAGATTTGTGTGCCTGAAATTTTATTTTACAAAAGAAAAAATGTTCTTCAGTTGCAAAATATTGGATGTCCTGTTTATGCAAATATGAGGGGGTACTGAAAAATTCTTGGCCCAACCAACTTCTCAAAATCAAAGCAAACTTTTTAAAATTTTTCAGAATCTACCAATCAACTTCCCAGTTTTCTCGCTACATGCTTTCATATTTCCAATGTTATTTTTTTTCTTTGGTCCCAGATGATAATATGATTGTTTTTACATGAATCCATTTTCACAAAATCAGTGTTCTAATGAAAAGAAACTAATTTAGCATTTAATCAGAAAATAGAATAAATCCACATGATGTTATAAAATACTGCTTTTAGGCAATCAATAGGACTGTTTCTCTAGTTCTTCATACTGGTTGGTAATTGATGCAATGGATTCTTTAAATGTTATTTTTCCTCTCTCAATACAGTTCTTCAGGTTTTGTAATATGGATGTGCATTATGTTTTACAAGTTTCCCATGCAGTTCTGTTTGTATGACAGGTTCAGATGCTTTTCTTTTACAATACTTTTATTCTGTAAAGAATTGATCAATGATTTTTTTTTTCTGCATGTCAATTACTTGTATATACAAGTAATCTTTCAGTCCTGGAATTTT